TGGCTTCTCTGTGCCTCACGTTCCCTACTGATAAAATGAGCAAAATACGCTGCATCTGGCCAACTGCCTTTTCAGGAAAGGTGACAATAAAAGCACTTTAAGAAGCGGTGTGAGAACGGCCCAGGGCGGCTGGGCTGGGGTGGGCTCCTCGCTGGACGCTGGATGGCTCAGGCCGGAGGCGCACCAGAGGGGGCGGGCAAAGTGCACGTGGGCGTAGCGGTGGGGCGGAAGGCAGGCGCCCCCCCCCCGCGACCACTAACTAAGCAGCTCGACCCCTGAACTCCCTAAAATGGGCCATTGCGGCCATCAGAACTGGCTCCGTAAAGGGCAGGCGAGGCACACGGGTAAGGGTCCACACACGGTACTGACGGTGCAGGAGAGCCTGTCATCAGGGCACTCACATGCGCACACGCCCACGTGCACACTCACACACGTGGTACATGCACACGCACACACACACCTGCTGGAAGGGGCATTTCCAGCAGATAGTTGCACTGCCTTCTGTGCCATCAACTGATGACTTTTTGTGGTTTTCTACTATTTTATAACATGTATTTTAGTAGCTTATTGAGGTAGGATTTACATACTGTAAAATACATTCATTTTCAGTGAACAATTGAGTGAGTTTTGGTAAACATATGACTGTGCAGCCTCCACCGTCTGACTGTGGCACGTCCGCACACCGTGTGCAGGCTCCTCCCCCCCAGGCGTTGCACACCTGCTTCCTATCTCTGTGGATGTTGCCCCTTCTGGACATTTCATGGAATCATGTAAGATGTGTTCTTTGGGTCGGCATGACTGTTTGACGTTTGTCCACCTACCAGTATTCTGCTCCCTTTTAAGGCTGAATGGTTTTCCTGCATTGTTTTGTGACACCGGTTCTTTACGGGCTTATGGTTCAGAAGCTTCAATTCTAGAACATTCTTGGCAGGTCCATCTCATGCTAGAGGATGCTTTCTCTCATCCAGAGAAAAGCAGGCTGCACAGAGAAGGGATCCCGGGGCAGCGGCCCTCAGGAGGGCCCAGTGCAGGGGTGGCCCTCCCCCCAGACCCGGAACCACAGACTCTCAGCATTTGGCCACTTCCCACCTGAGCACCCACCCGGCTCAGAAGACGCAAGTGGTTTTATGTTTTGAATTTTATTTTATTTTTTTAAATACAGCAGGCTCTTATTAGTTATCTGTTTTATACCTATTAGGATATATATGTCATTCCCAATCTCCCAATTCATCCCACCACCTGCTTTCCCCCCTTGGCGTCCATATGTTTGTTCTCTACATCTGTGTCACTTTCTGCCCTGCAAACCGGTTCATCTATACCACTTTTCTAGGTTCCACATATATGAGTTAATATACAATATTTGTTTTTCTCTTTCTGATTTACTTCACTCTGAGTATGACAGTCTCTACATCCATCCACGTCTCTGCAAATGACCCAATTTCGTTCCTTTTTATGGCTGAGTAATATCGCATTGTATTTATGTACCACATCTTCTTTATCCAGTCAACTGACGATGGGCATTTAGGTTGCTTCTATGACCTGGCTATTGTAAATAGTGCTGCAATGAACATTGGGATGCATGTGTCTTTTTGAATTCTGGTTTCCTGTGGGTATATGCCCAGTAGTGGGATTGCTGGATCATATGGTAATTCTATTTTTAGTTTTTTAAGGAACCTCCATACTGTTCTCCATAGTGGCTGTATCAATTTACATTCCCACCAACAGTGTAGGAGGATTCCTTTTTCTCCACACCCTCTCCAGAATTTGCTGTTTGTAGATTTTCTGATGATGCCCATTCTAACTGGTGTGAGGTGATACCTCATTGTAGTTTTGATTTGCATTTCTCTAATAATTAGTGATGTTGAGCAGCTTTTCATGTGCTTCTTGGCCATCTGTATGTCTTCTTTGGAGAAATGTCTATTTAGGTCTTCTGCCCATTTTTGGATTGGGTTGTTTGTTTTTTTAATGTTGAGCTGCATATATTTTGGAGATTAACCCTTTGTCTGTTGATTCGTTAGCAAATATTTTCTCCCATTCTGAGAGTTGTGTTCTCGTCTTGTTTATAGTTTCCTTTGCTGTGCAAAAGCTTTTAAGTTTCATTAGGTCCCATTTGTTTATTTTTGTTTTTATTTCCATTACCCTAGGAGGTGGGTCAAAAAAGATCTTGCTGTGATTTATGTCATACAGTGTTCTGCCTATGTTTTCCTCTAAGAGTTTTATAGTGTCTGGTCTTACATTTAGGTCTCTAATCCATTTTGAGTTTATTTTCACAAAGGGTGTTAGGGAGTGTTCTAATGTCATTCTTTTACATGTAGCTGTCCAGTTTTCCCAGCACCACTTACTGAAGAGACTGTCTTTTCTCCATTGTATATCCTTGACTCCTTTGTCATAGATTAGTTGACCATAGGTGTGTGGGTTTATGCCTCGGCTTTCTATCCTGTTCCACTGATCTATATTTCTGTTTTTGTGCCAGTACCATACTGTCTTGATTACTGTAGCTTTGTAGTATAGTCTGAAGTCAGGGAGCCTGATTCCTCCAGCTCCGTTTTTTTCCCCTCAAGATTGCTTTGGCTCTTCAGGGTCTTTTGTGTCTCCATACAAATTTTAAGATTTTTTTGTTCTAGTTCTGTAAAACATGCCATTGGTAATTTGATAGGGATTGCATTGAATCTGTAGATTGCTTTGGGTAGTACAGTCATTTTCACAGTATTGATTCTTCCAATCCAAGAACATGTTATATCTCTCCATCTGTTTGTGTCATCTTTGATTTCTTTCATCAGCATCTTATAGTTTTCTGAGTATAGGTCTTTTACTTCCTTAGGTAGGTTTATTCCTAGATATTATATTCTTTTTGTTGCAGTGGTGACTGGGAGTGTTTCCTTAATTTCTCTTTCTGATCTTTCATTGTTAGTGTATAGGAATGCAAGAGATTTCTGTGCATTAATTTTGTATCCTGCAACTTTACCAAATACATTGATTAGCTCTAGTAGTTTTCTGGTGGCATCTTTAGGACTTTCTATGTATAGTATCATGTCATCTGCAAACAGTGACAGTTTTACTTCTTTTTTTCCAATTTGTATTCCTTTTATTTATTTTTCTTTTCCGATTGCCATGGGTAGGACTTCCAAAACTATGTTGAATAAGAGTGGTGAGAGTGGACAACCTTGTCTTGCTCCTGATCTTAAAGGAAATGCTTTCAGTTTTTCACCATTGAGAAGGGTGTTTGCTGAAGACACGAGTGTTTGAAGTGTGTTTATCTCACTCCCACCTTCCTGAGAAGCCAGAGGACAGGGGTCCCTGGCTGGTGGGAGGGGGCCCCGGGGCACCTGGTGCAGACCCTCTGCAGCCTCTCCTGGAAGTGCACCCACTGCCCTGATACCTGATACATGATGCAAGGTGGAACATTTATCAACAAGAAGCAGCCTTTCTTTTCCTTTTCATCACTGGTGGTGTTTGCCAACTGTCACCTACGACACGGCCAGCACCAAACAGGCAAGTGAGGCACTGTCACCCAGTGCTGGTCAGAGGAGCACACCTGGGGCAGAGCATCTCAGCTGTGGATCATTGAATGCCCAGCAGGGGCTGACATCTGTCCCTGACACCTTCCTCGGGAGAAGCCCCACTTCCGTGTCCCTCTGTCCACCACCTCGGGGTTCCTCTGTGTGTGTGTGTGTGTGTGTGTGTGTGTGTGGTGTGTGTATGTATGTGTGTGCCCACGCGTTGTGCAGCTGCCCGGTCACCTCACGTCCTCCCTGTTGGCTCCTTATAGCAGGAGCGCCAGGGACCTGTCGTCAGTGGGTCACAGGACATCTCGGCCAGTGAATCGAGCAACCAGGGTGCACGTGCAGGGGATCACGGGATACAGCATCTGTTTTCAGGCTCTTTGGCCATTTTAAAAATCATTAAATTGCCGGTAAAAAGGACACACGCATCTCAGAAGAGAATAATTTTGCATTCACCCTGGAGAGAAAAAGATAGGGTGGCAGCCTCTTCAGATTCACGTGTGACCCGTACAGCTGGGCGGGAATCACAGGCAGATAGAGCCGGCAAGACGTTTCCTTCTCTCCATTGTGTTCCCCACCTTCCAGCCCCATAGGGCCAGACGTAGGGATAGCGGGAAACGAATTCCTTAGGACCTGCCCAGCTGCCCCTCGAGGAGCTTCCTGTGTTTGTCAAATAAAAGCCTCTTGGAGTCCCTCTCAAAGAGGGACAGCTCGGGACCCTTCCAGGCTCACCCCATAACGGAAACACGGGGGTGCCAGCCAGCCTGTGGGAGCAGAAATCGCATTCAGGGGGCTACAGGGGCCCTGCCCTTTAGCACTGCTCTTCCCCGTGGGTCAGAGCTCACGAGCTCAGCAGTTCACCGGCTCAGGGCCCAGCAGGAGGCTGTGACCTCGGCCCGAAGGGCTCAGAGCGGGCCTTCAGGGAGACCTTGTTTTGGGACCAGTGTCTGCTACCTCAGGATTCATTTCCAGACACGAGCAGCAGGGGCTGCAGTGGGGACCCGGGCGTGCTTAGTGCTCACAGCGCCCCTCCAGCTCCTCCAGTGCCCGCCACGGCAGCCCTGGGTCTGGGGTCTGTGCCACGGGCCTCGGGTGGCCCTACTCTCGGTCCCTGAAAAGGAGAAGGTGGTACATGGGGGAGTTGGCTTAGCTGCAGCCGGGCGGTGCCAGCCTGGCGCGTTGTTTATTTGCATTCCAATCAACCTGCACGTAGCCGGCTATTTATGACCCTGGACCTTGGCCTGGCTCCACTGCGGGCAGTTTCCCAGCCAGGAGCTCAGCAAGGTTCCTGTCCCCAGGGAGCCCGGAGCTGGGTGAGTCTGGGGGCGCAGGGCCGCACCTGTGTCCGGCCGGTGGAAGACGGCCCATGCGTGGTGACATGCGGTCCTGTGCCTCCGGTGCCGCACCCCTGACGAGCTCTCTCCCGCAGGGCGGATGGAGGGCTCCTGGTCCTGAGACCCCATGTGCAGCTGGCGGAAGTGGCCCTGGGACGGCGAGATGCCCTCGGAGCGCAGGGACGTCCTGGTGCTACTCCCCACGCGGGAACGGCTGCGGCTGGCCGTGGGGGTGAGCGCGGAGGAAGGCCAGGTGGGCGACAGCTGGGGACAGCAGGGGCCACGGGGTGAGCCAGGCCATGCGTGAGGGGTGGCCATGGGGGTGAGCTTGGGAGAGGGCCGGGTGGGCGACAGCAGGGAACAGCAGGGGCCATGGGGTGAGCCAGGCCATGCGTGAGGGGTGGCCGTGGGGGTGAGCGCGGGGGAGGGCCGGGTGGGCGACAGCAGGGGACAGCAGGGGCCATGGGGTAAGCCAGGCCATGTGTGAGGGGTGGCCGTGAGGACCACATGGGGCCAGTGTGCCGGCGGGCCTGCCCCCTGGGACCACACTGTGTTCTAATCACACCACTGCCCCCCAGCTTAGAGAAACGGACGCTGGCTCTGGCCACCTTTACACCGTGTGTGTCCCTCTCGGTCTGTAGCCCCCAGCGGTGGCCCAGGCCAGACACAGTCCGCAGCGTCCGGCGCCTGCGTGGGCTGATTTTGTTCCAAGGGGCCCATCCCTTCTGGAGCCTCTTCCCGTGACCCGGGCGGGGGTGGATCTGAGGGCAGCTGCGTCCTCGGCCTGGAATAAACACTAAAGCTGCTGAGGGAACCAGATTCAGACCTGGCAGATGGGAGTCAGGCCGCCCACACCTTGTCTGCAGGTGACCGTGAGGTCCTGCCTGGAGGGGCGAGGCCGCGGGTCTGTCCTCCCAAGAAGGTGGCTCCTGCCTTCCCTGGGAAAGGCAGCCCCTAAGCGCTGGGCTGGGGGACAGCAGAGCAGGGGTTCGCTCGACAGTGTCCGTGAGAGACCCTGCTTGGCCTCTACCTGATGGCCACGTGACTCAGGTTGTCCTTTCAGGGGAGATGTGAATTGTGGCTTAGGCGTCCAGGATTCACTCCACACGCAGCATGACACCCAGGCGCAGGTACAGGATGGAGGCTCTCTTTAGGAAGCATGTGACTCCTGCAAACTCCCACCAGACAATGCAGCTGTTTGAAGCCAGAGCCATTAGCTAAGAAGCCTCATCACCGAGGTGGCGTGAATGCCACTTCGTCTGTGAGGACCCCTGGGGACGAAGCTCGCCTTTACCTCCTTCCCCAGGCCCCCGGCCACCCCAGGGACAGCGGCTGCCACGCAGATGTCTTCAGGGCGACCTGTGTCAGCCAGCACTGGGTGCCCCGCAGGCCCGGCCCCGCCTGCCCCACCCTCCCTGTGAAGGAGCGCCCAGCACGAGAGAGGGGCTGCGCGCTGGCCCCGCACAGGGACTCCCGGCCCCGCAGAGACCCTCCCCAATGGGACCTCCCGGGGAACGGGGGTACAGTGAGCCGGGGAGGGGAGCCCCCATCTCTGTACAGCAGCTGTAGGGGTGCGTGGGGCCTGGCCTGAGCACAAACACCCGCGGGGACACACCGGACAAGCCGGCCGTGCTGTGGGCCCGCTGCTGTGCCCCGCGGCAGCTCAGAGCCTGCACCGCGGGCTGCCTGCGCCCCAGCTCTGGACCTCGGGACACGGGGCATCTAGTGGGTCAGTGCAGGGCCAGGTCACTTCCAGCTGGGATTTTGACGTCTTTCCAGCTCATTCCAGTTGCCCGAGAGAAAATGAAGTGGCCTGAGTCCTCCGGTGCCAGGCGGTCTCTGGAGCTCAGTTGCAGTGGCCCTTCCAGGCGTGTCTGAGCTGAGGTTGAGGCCTCTCTTCCCCATCCCGGCCCGGAGCAGCCCCTCCTGCGCTAACCGGTGCCCCCGCGTGTCCAGCTCTGCCCCGTCCCTTAGCCCTCTCCACGCGCAGCCGGGGCCCTGCCCCCCGTTGGTCTGATCTCACAGATGGGAAACTGAGGCCCAGGGTTGGCGAGCACTTGGTGCCGAGTTGGGGCTGCAGCCCAGGTCGCCTGGTTCCAGAGCCCGTCTGCTTCTCGCTGCAGGTGTAGTGCTCTGCCCGCAGGGGAGCAGAGCCAGGGCGGCGGGGGGCAGTTGCTCTGGAGCCCCAGTCCCCGTGTTGGCGGCGCGCAGGGGAGGGGTCAGCCCTCCCATTTGGCCCGTGAAGGGTGTGTTACTGATGGGCGTTGCTGACTGTGAGAAATAAGTTCCTGTTTCTGCATCTCCTTTCTGGGAACATAGGGTGCAGGGTGCGAGGGGGACGGAGAACTCGGGAAGCTAACGTCCACGTGGAAGTGTCTATCTCGTGTTCAGCCATCGCAGGCACTCGGGCTGTCTAGGGCCCAATCAGAGGAAGATGGAATCTCTGTGTCTGTCTTTCCTTCCTACTCTCACCTTGTCTGCCTGTCTTAGTTGAGTTGAGAGACAATGGAAAGCACCTAGAAAGCTGGCCTGCCCCTGGGGAAGGGGGGTAACCTCATTGAAGGATAACTGTGGTTTATGAAAACGCAGCACTTGGAGTGGGAGGGGTCTAGAGAAGAGAGCTGGTCCCTGCGGGGCTGGTTTGGGGCTGCCTTTGGGAGGGGGCGGAAGGGGTCTGAGATGCCCCATGGCTCCCGGGAATGTGTTGCCTGAGTCCTGGGAATTTCTCCTCTGCTCAGGGACACACTTCTGTACTGAAGTCAAGGCCCCCAAGCCTCGGTGTCCCCATCCAGTGATGAGAGGCTGGAGCTGATCGATGGGCTTTCCGGGGGTTCGCTGTGTCCTTAGAGGTGCCTTATGCCATGGGTGCTCTCCATTGGGCGGGTGCAGCAAGGGGACCTGGGGCGTGGGGGGGAGGGGAGGTCCTGGGGCATTGGCCCTGCCCTATGTGAGCCTGGTTCCTCGGTGAAATTCACGGGAAGGTCTTCCTGAAGGACTGTGCAGCCAGAGCAGAGCTGAACCCTCTAGATGGAGACGTGGATCTTGGCTGTGATGGGGCCCACGGACCCAGCCTCCAGTGCCTGTGGTCTCGCCCTCCTGGCCCTTGGAGCCAGCGGAGGCAAGTTACTTCCAGGGTGTGTGCACTGGGCTAGCAGCGAGGGAGGACCCCGTATTTAACTGTACCGCGTGCGTCTTCACACCAAGCATTAGGAAGCCATGGGCTGGGAAAAGCCTTGCTGCGAATATGCGTCACCATCATCGTGGGCGGAGGGATTGCCCCTCACCAGATCAGATGGACGATGACAAGGCCGGCCTCCCGGGCACTGACCACTAAGAAGTGGGACTCCCCGAGTCACAGGAGCTCCACCCGGCCCCGGGAAGCCTGCAACCAGCGTCCTCAGGCTACCCGGGCCGTCGCACTCCAGCCCCTCAGCTGCCCCCGGTAAATGGGTCTCCATTCGGTGAACCCGAGCCTCCACCAGCCGGCCTCACACACATGGACACGGGCCCCAGACGGCAACGTAGGTCTGTGGGGACCAATCACCAGCCCAGGGAGCACAGAGGACAGAGGACCAGACCCACCAGGGAGATGTGTCGGCCACGGGATAAAGGACCCTGTGTGCCCAACAAATCAACGGCCTGGGAAAGGTCCCAGGATGGGGCCTTCCTTGAGTCTGGATTCAAATCAACAAAGCATGAAAACGCTGACATTTGTGAGACCACCGGAAATTTGAACGTGTGGGATGTGGCTGATATAAAGATGTTGTTAACTTGTTAGGTGTAATGAAGCATTTGTGGGTAATGGAAAGCCAACCGGCTAATAGTTGTGTTGAGGGCGAGAGCCCGCCCTTCCGTGTACCCACACCGACGGAAGAGAGACCTCACTTGTGCAGGCGTGGACGCACACCCAGCACTGGGGCTGCGTGGGAGCGGGGAGGGGCGGGGAGGTGATGGCACTGGGGCTCGGCCTGGGCCCTGAAGCCCAGCAGGAGGTCCCTGTGGGGCAGGACGGCTGCTGTGGCAGAAGTGGGGCGTGGAGAGACATGGGCCTCCCTTGCAGCACACGCCCCTTTCAGGGGTGCCCAGACGCCAGGCCCGCTTTCAGGAGTCGCCTAGCAATGCTGGCTTAGGGTGAGGAGAGAGCCCAGTGGGGTTCCTGGGGGCACGGAGCCTTGGAGGGAGCAGCCCTTGGAGGGAGCAGCCTCCTGTCCTGGGGATGGGCACGCCGCCCCCGCCCTCGTGAGGGTCCCACCCTCTCACAGGCGGCCTGCTGTGTTGGGGGGGCTTCTAGCCGTCAGCCTGGAGAGTGACCAGGGACCCCAAGCCCTGACCCTGCTGAGCGGGAAGCCCGCTGAGCCAGACCCCCTGCCCACCAGCCCAGCTCAGTGGACCCTCCTCTGGACTCCCTCCTCTTCCTGGGGTCGCCCTGCTCGGCGCCCTGAGCACCTCCCATCTCTATCGCAGGTGCAGGCCGCCGGGCACGAGCTCTTTCAGCAGGTGTGCGACCTGGCCGGCATCAGAGAAGCCCACTTCTTTGGCCTCAGTGTGATAAGAAGTAAGCAAGCGTTGCCCGACGACCCTGGGCCCCCCGGGCCCCTCTCAGGGCAGGGAGGGCGGGTGCTTGGGGCTGAGTCTGAAGGAGACCCCAGGCCTCTGCCTGCTGCTGCCTGGTGCCCACGTGTTCCAAGGGCACCAGGGTGTCTGGGCGATTCCCCCTCGCTGCACCGGAGCACAGGCGCGTGCACTCATGTTCACACATGCAGATATTTACATACTTACACATTCACACACATGCACACTCAGGCACACACATACATGTTCAAGTATTCACGTGCACACAAAGTACACAAACACACATAACCACACTCATGCACACTGTCTCACATATTTACATACTTAACACATTCACACGTGTGCACTTACATACACACGTGCTGGCACACTCATACCCTCACATACTTATTCACACTTATAGGCACACACTCACACGTATTTACGTGCTCTCACATGGGTGCACACATGCACACACACACATATACACTTGTACACTCCCCTCCTCTGGAGAGAAAAGGTGAGCAGGCTGGAAGCTTGCTTTCTGGAAGCCCTGGGCCCTGCTCGTGTGCAGGGCCCAGTTCAGAGCCGTGGGTCAGATGGAGCCTCCGTAGACCCCTGGTGTGAGGAGGGTCAGTGCTGGCAGACAAGGTGGGGCGGCCGCCTTGTTCCCCCGTCCCAGGCTCCCTCCAGGCCCCCGGGCTGAGTGGGCGAGCACAGGGAAGAGCAGGGGAGCTTGACCCTCCGCCTGGATCCCCCAGCCTGTGTACCCCAGGCAGGCGTCCAGGTGGGGGCCAAGCGAGATGGGCAGCCCCCTTGGGGGCATGGGCTCTGAGGACCCGGCCTCTCCCTCGGCTGTCCGTGCAGCATGTCCTGCAGACTCGTGAGCATTTCTCCGAGGGAAATAATCCCACGGTGGCCCCCGCGCGATGACCCAGGCCTCCGTCCCACGTGGGCTCCCTCGGCCCCAGCCGCAGAGAAGATTCCGTGCTTGGGCCGCCTGACCTCTCCGGGCCCCGAGCACAGCGGTGGAGGCTCCGGGCTTGTCACTGGTGCATCGCCTGTCCCCGCCAGGCTCTCTTTGGAGCTTGTAATTTCGTCTCAGCGTGGCTGAGAGCCGAGCCCTGGGACTTCTGGTGGCCGAGTGCCTAGGGGCTCGGGGGGCGGCGCGGGCGTGGACCAAGCAGGGAGGAGGAGGATGAGGTGGGGTCACAGGTCAAGGTCCACATGGGAATTCCTGCCCTTAGACCTGGAAGTGCGCCCCCTGGCGTGGACTTGGGGTGTCCCCTGTGGGACCCCCAGGCTGGCCCGGGGGAGGTGGTAGAGCTCAGGACAACCGCCTTTTCTCCTGTCTGTCAGGAAATCGCTCCCCACTTCCGGGCCCCGGACAGAATCGGGGACATCGGTAAGATGGCGCTGTAGGCAGGGGGCCCGGCACCCAGCATGGGGTTCACGTCCTGGAGTAGCCCCTTTGGGTTAAATTTTAATATTAGTGGACTTTTCCCGGTTTGCAGGGAAAACTCAGTTAATGGGTAGCTTTGCCCCAGTTTACACTTCCGTCCAGAATCGCCGTCTTAGCCGTTGGCCGCCGCCGCCTTGTGCCTGGCCCTCGCAGACAACCAATCAGGACGCGAGCGTTTCTAAGAAGCTTGGTTTGTTTGGGGGAAGAGAGGGTTGCCAGTGCCCATTCCTCAACAAGTCTGTCATCTTGTTCTAGAAGTTTCTCGCTTCATGGAAATGAAGTCCCCATCGTTCCAGAGAGGGTCCTGGCGGGCCCAGTGGAGGCTGAGCAGGGGGCTGGGATAGGTGGCGGGACCCGCTCACTTCGCGGCACAGGCCTCGTGGCGTAGGACCGGGCACACGCGGGCGGTAAAGCAGAGAGAGGGCACGCACACACGTGGTGACTTCATGCGGGGACTTGTTGAGACCCGGAGCCCTGGGGGGATGGGGGTCGCAGGCTCTGCGGGGGACCCTACCCCCAGGACGCGGTGGTTGGGTTCAATGGTACCCTCCTCCTCCTGAGCTTTGTCACTTGGGAGCCTGGGCCTCTGGAGCATCTGGAGGTGGCTTAGCTGAGGGCGTGTGCCACTCTGGTCCAGGACAGCCGCCAGCCCTTGGGTCCCCCCGCCAGGGCTTGAGGTGCAGTGCTGCCACCACCTGACCCTCCGAGGCCCCACTGGGGTCTGGGTGTGGGACGTGCAGGTGGGCTCAGACTCAGTGGGTGGGCACGTTGGGGGCTCCAGACGCTGAGTGAGGATGGACCTGAAGCCCAGCCACCGGCAGTAAAAGAATAGAGGGACGTCGGGGGAGGGGTGGCAGGCTGGCCACCGGAGCAAGGAGGTCTCAGAGGAAGAAGCAGGGGGGCCAGTGGGGTTCACAGGCCCACCCCAGTGCCCCTCTGCCCAGGACAGAGGGACGCGCAACCAGCCCCCCGTCCTGCAGGTAGCCCTGCAGGAGAGAGGAGAGACACAATGCTCATTTTATGGAAAAAGTATTTTGAGAATTTTCAGACATCCATGAAAGTAGAGAAAGCAGCATGCAGCAATTGCCAACCTTTTGCCAAACCTGCTCCATTGAACCCTGAATGTTTTGCTGATTATTTAAAATAAATCCCAGTCTTCATGATATTCCATCCCTAAATACTCTTTATATATCTCTTGAAAGAGAATATTTTCTTAAATAGCCACAATGCCATTTGTACACCCAACAGAATTAACAATTTCTTGATATTATTTTATTATTATTATTATTTTATTTATTTTTTTTTGCGGTACGCGGGGCTCTCACTGCTGTGGCCTCTCCCATCGCGGCGCACAGGCTCCGGACGCGCAGGCTCAGCGGACATGGCCCACGGGCCCAGCCGCTCCGCGGCATGTGGGATCCTCCCAGACCGGGGCACGAACCCGTGTCCCCCGCATCGGCAGGCGGGCTCTCAACCGCTGTGCCACCAGGGAAGCCCCTCTTGATATTATTTAATATTCGCTTGATATTTAAATTTCCTAGTTGTTTCGGAAATGTCTTTTTATAGCTGTTTTGTAAGAATAAGGACCCAAATAGCGTCCCCGCGTCATGTTTTGTCACCTGGTCCCTAAACCTCTTAGGATCAGAACCAGCCTCTGTGCAGCCTGCTCGGCCTCAGGTAGCAGAGGCCTCAGACCAGGCGGCATAAACGACAGAAACCTGCTTTCTCGCAGTCTGGAGGCTAGAGGTCTGAGATCCCAGGGTCAGTGGGGCCGTTCCTCCTGGGGCCTCTCTCCTCGGCGTGTACTTGGCCGTCTTCTCCCGTTGAACTCACGTGGCCGTCCCTCTGTGCAGATCTGTGTCTGAGCTCCTCTTGTTATGTGGACCCCAGTCCCGCCGGATCAGGATCCACCTTAATGACCTCATTTTAACTTAATCACTTCTTAGAAGGCCCAGCTCTAAATACAGTCACGTTGTGAGGCCCTGGGGGTTTGGGCTCCAACATAAGAATCTGGGGACACATGCGGCTCCTGACACCCCTCCCCATTTTCATGCCAGTGGCTCGTTGAGGCCAGTGCGTCCACTGTCCCACTGGCAGCCCCACACTCTAGGATCCCGTTTCCTCCCAACATCACCTAAATTGGCTCTCACCCTACACTTCCCTGTCCCGGAAGTTGGCTGGACCGACCAGTCACTCTACTCAGCCTTCTGGGTGGGACAGCATCACACGTACCGCAGGGCTGGCCCTGGGCGTGCCCGTCACCGGACGCCACGTCTGGGCCCTACTTCTAGTGGTGCGAGATTGGCCCGTGGGTTCAGGTGGGCAGTGCTGGAAGCCCACGTCCAGCGGGTGGGCTGCAGCTGGGGAGCTAGTGGGCGACTTTGAGAAACAACACATTCGATGCATTTCTAGCGCCTTTGTCGTCTAGGTTAGCGACGCTGTCGGGACTTTTCTTCTAGAGCTTGAACTTAAGCTGAAGGTGGTTTGTTTCTTTCTATTCTTTATCGTGAACTTGCGGGGGCAGCTTGGAAGGAGCAGGAAGGTGATTTAGATAATCACATGCGAAAAAGGGCGCTTGCAGCCCTTGCAAGGCAGGCTTGGCTTTTCACTCCTGTTCCCACATGTGGGCTCCTTAGACAAAACCCCGATCCTTTAACGGTGCCGCCAAGGTCAGACGGCACGCGATGGCTAAGCCTGTGGGCTCCGACCACCCTGGGGGAGCCTCCCGGCCACAGAGGATGGTCTAGATAAATGAAAAGCAATGCTTGCTCAGAGCAGAGGTGGGCACACTTCCTGTACAGGGCCAGATAGTGAGTGTCTCTGGCTTTGGGGCACAAAAGTGGCTACAGACGTTATGTAGCAGAGGAGCCTGGCTGTGCTCTGCTTGGCCCAGGGCCCTCCTTTGCTGACCCCGGGCTTCAAGGGTCCTTGGCCTGGCGGTGGGGAGGGGGTTACCCTAGGACCCCTACCAGGGTTTTATTAGCCGTGTGACTGGCGTGTTTCCGAGCGTCTGCAAGGCCCAGTTTCCTCCTCTGCAAAGTGAGCAGAGATAACAGTCGAGGTGTTGAGGACGTGAGGATGCGGGGTTTGGCTCAGGGTCCCAAGCCCAGAGCCTGCACACGGCAGGCTCACCCCTCCTGAGGCGGGGGCTGCTGAGTGGTGTGGCGGGCCCCGCGGCACCGCCCTGTCTATACCCTCGAAGGCTGCCTCGTGGAGCTGGGAGGGGTCAGGCTGTCCTGCTGTCCTCAGAGAGGGGCCTGCAGGTGGCACAGTCGAGGCCCTGAGAGTCACCGGTTCTGGAGCTGAGCCTGACAGTAACGGAGGGAGGCCGGCCCGCCCCACGCTCCTCTCTAGGATAATCTTTTTTCTCCAGCTTACAAAGGAAACACGTGGTCGTAATAATCCAAAAACACAGAGCGTAGAATTTGGAAAGAAGTGTCCCCCATGACCATTCCCAGCGTGACCACGTTAATGTGGTTGTTGACTTGAAGTTGGGGAGCTTAGTCCCAGGTTTACAGGCCTTTCCAGTTTCGAAGGACTCGGTCTGCAGCTGGGAGAGGGGCTGTTGGGAGGAAGACCCTTCCGGATGGTCACACTCCCGGCAAGGACCAGCTCCAGTGCCATCGCGACGTCAGTGTCTAGGTTTCAGTATCTAAAGATTCCTCACTTTGGAAAACCACCCGGTAAAGCCTGGATGTCAGGAGACACGCTCCTTCAGCCTGCCACCACGAGGAGGCCACCACGTGTGACTGGTCGCGCATGGGCCCCTCCCAGCACGCTCTGCTCCAGGCCCTGCTTCTCTCCGTAGACAGCGAGCATGTCTTCATGGATTTGGAGCAGAAACTCAGCAAATACTTCTCAAAGGACTGGAAGCAAGAACGGCATAGAGTGAGCTAAACTGCCAGGCGCGGGAGGGCAGGGTGGAGGGGCCCGGGAGGCCCAGCTGCTGGCCCCCAGGCGGGTCCACCCCCCGCCCCAGGTCCCAGTGCGGAGTCTGCTGGGTGCAGGGAAGCCAGCCACGTGGGTGCAGGTGCATGCCCTTGATTGTTCTGGACATTTGCTCAGCTTTTCCTTTTAACAAAGTGGCATAAAATCATGGACTGCCCCGCAGTAGACCTGAGCTGTGACCTCGGGCTGGGTCTGAAGCGATGGAGGTGATGGCTCCCTCCTGAGCACCAGCGGGGGGGGGGGGG